AACAATAGTGAGGGCCTCGGAACCCGCGTCTGATGCTAGGAAAACATGTCTTGATTTAGTCAAGCTGGTCCCACTGTAAGAATGTGATGTCACGTGTCGCTTACATCTACTAACCTGTAACATAAGTATAGGGGACTAAAGCTATCTTACCCTCTCAATGGTTTGTCTATTTGTGGTTTTGCTCTTTTTAGCCTTTGGATGTTGAAGAAAAACCAGAAATTAGGCAGTGAAACAGAATTCTTGTAAAGAAGAACTGATGTTAAGTAGGCAACATTTGTCCTAATTCTGATCTTTGAAAAGCCGTTGCTTAATTTTACATTTACAGATCTCTTGTCTGCAACTTGTCATTTTGATTGGGGCTCATTGCTGGTAGAAGGGAGGTTTGGAGTGGTTTATGATGGACTATTACCCAGAGGAGTTTATGTGACTGTTAAAGTTTTAGTCTATGGTTCAATTATCACTGATCATGAAGCTGCAAGACAGCATGAGTAACTTGGTCGAATAAAACATCCTAATCTTGTTCGTCTGACTTGATATTGGCCGGTGATTTTCTTTTAAAGAAGGCCGGATTTATGACAATAGGGTAGCTGTTCCCAAACTCCGAAGGAATTGTCCCATCTATAGAGTTATTTACTAATCGAATGAACACAAGACCCTTCAAGTCAGCAATTCCAACTGCTATACATTCATCAAGCCTGTTAAACTTTGAGTTGTCAAGATTTAACATGAAAATGGGTTGGGTTGTCAAGATTTAACAGAATATACTTGCCACTTATGAATTTCTATTTTCCACGTCAATTTTCCATCCATTTGGAAAGATGTGAGTTAAATGAGTGATGGATGCTTAATTATATGAAAATATGGGTGAGTATTGAACAACCTATTAAAGATGAGTAAGTAGTAATAATACAAAAGTTCAATGAGTGTTAATTATATTTACTCTATCTACAAATAAGGCCATGTTTGACACGCATTATTCCAAAATACATTATTTCAAAATTCATTTTCAACCACACATTCTTCAATAAAATAATATTTTTCATCACATTAATAATTTTTCCTTACTTTTTAACTACATATTTTCCATCATATCACTATTTAGAATACATTATTTTATCAATAATATCTATCAAATACACTCTTAAGCCAAATTAAAGTAATCAAATCAATTAAAAAATAAGGACACCATAATATTCTAACAATTTAAGCTGAAAAGGGGTAAAAGGAGAAAAATGTAAAATATTCAATTTTTGACATCAAATTGTACCCAAGAATTACAAAGGACAGGTTCAAGAAACTAATAAAACAAACTTGCTCGAGATGTGTTTGCAAAATTTCTGTGTACATAACGGAAAAAAAGTTCCTTAAGTGTAAAAGTAAGCTAATTTCCCTAATTATTAGAACCAAAAAGTTCCAATAAAGTGTACATTGGTGTTTCTTAAGCCTCTTGAAAACTCGAAGAATTAAAATAAATTACAACCTGCATATCCTACGTACACACACATACAATAAGTTGGAAGAGGTTATGTGGACATAGGGCAGAGAGGTAGAGGCAGTAGACTTGACGATCGTAGTACTTTTGTCCTCGATCTTGCGCTTGAGCTCCTCCTTCACCGTGCAGGTCTCAGCGACGTATAAGACATCGTCTTCTTGCTCCTCGTCGCCAAAGTATATATTGGAGTCCGATGAAAATTGCCGCGCAACAAAAAATGGCAGGAAATCAACAAGAAAAAATACGTGATAGATTAGGGAACGAGAAACACAGTAAATCTGCAAACATATATGTGGAAGAGAGTTGAGAATATGAAAAGGCATTTTCCGGTAGGGATAAAAGACCGTTGAACCCTAAATTTGAGAATTAGTTTGCCAAAAAATGTAAGGGTAAAATGGAAAATAAAGAAATGCTTCATGGACGAATGGTGAAGGGTGGATTGCCTGTATTATGATAGTAGGATTGTATATAGGGATATGCAAACTTCGATTCAGTCTCTTAGACTCCTCAAATGGGTGTATCCAAATTCCTCCAAAATTTATCTAAACCCCTTCTTAAATCCTCCCAGCATTTCCTTGTCAAAATAACCCCTAATGCTCTTCATTCCTCAGCCATAACCACATTAAACCCCACCGAAAACCACATATTATTAACTCATTACCTAAACCCATCTGGGTTTTCCTCATATCCTCATTTTCAGAGAGCATTTCATGGTCAGAATTCAATAAAGACTAATAATTACAAGAACCCAGTTGCCGAAACCACCCAAGAAGCAGAAAGAATCGCTAAATTAGTATCCAGTGTTAAAAATCCAAAAAATCTGGATTCTTCTTTGAACTCTGCTAATTTTAGTGGTATATCTCCAATTGTGGTTTTGGAAGTGTTAAAGAAGCTGAACAATGCGGGAATGACTGCGCTGGCGTTTTTCAGGTGGGCGGAGAAGCAAGAAGGCTTCCAGTATATTGATGAGTGCTACAATTCTCTCATTGAAGCGTTGGGAAAAATTAAGCAATTCAAAATGGTGTGGGTTTTGGTGGATGAAATGAAACGAAAGGGATTGTTGTCGAAGAACACGTTTGCCCTCGTTTCGAGGAGGTACGCAAGGGCAAGGAAGGTGAAAGAGGCTATGGAGGCATTTGAGACGATGGAGAAGAAATATGGTTTTACGACCGAGTTGCAAGATTACAATAGGCTTCTTGATACCTTGAGCAAGTCTAGGCATGTGGACAGTGCCCAGAAGGTGTTTGATAAATTGAAAAACGGAAAATTTAGGCCCGACATTAAATCGTACGCAATATTGTTGGAAGGTTGGGGTCAAGAGTGTAATTTGCTTAGAATGGACGAGGTTTATCGTGAGATGAGGGACGATGGCTTTGAGCCTGATGTTGTGACTTACGGGATTTTAATCAATGCTTATTGTAAGGTTAGAAGGTTCAACGAAGCGATTGAATTATATCATGAAATGGAAAAGAAGAATATCAAGGCGACCCCTCATATATATTGCACTTTGATCAATGGTTTGGGGCCGGAGAAGAGGTTAAACGAAACTGTGAAGTTCTTTGAGTCATGTAAGGCTAGCGGTTTTGCTGTTGAGGCACCTACTTATAATGCTATGGTGGGAGCTTATTGTTGGTCGGAGCGAATGCATGATGCTTATCGGATAGCTGATGAGATGAAAAAATGTGGGGTTGGTCCGAATGCACGAACTTATGATATAATTCTACGACACCTTATAAAGGTTGACAGAACAAAAGAGGCTTATGGCGTTTTTAACAAAATGAGTGATGAGCCAGGGTCTGAGCCAACTGTAAGTACATATGAGATCATGGTAAGGATGTTCTGCAATAAGGAGCGGACGGATATGGCATTGAGAGTGTGGAATCAGATGACGGCCCGAGGTGTTCTTCCCGGAATGCACATGTTTTCGACCTTGATCAACAGTCTCTGCAATGAGATTAAGTTGAACGATGCATGCCAATATCTTCAAGAGATGCTTGACATGGGTATAAGGCCTCCAGATACAATGTTTAAGAATCTGAAACGAGCTCTTGTTGATGACGGGAAAGAAGATATCGCCATGATATTGACACATAAGGTTGAGAGACTAAGGAAATCTCCATTAGTCGGTTAGCAAACGAAAAATGTTCCTGGGAATTCACCATGTGATAGTGTATTCACCGTACACTGACCAAATTTTGTCATTTGACTATGTTGCATCTTTCTAGAGCGAGGTAGGAAATGGGACAAGTGTTGTAATGTCTATCGAATTCGAATTCAAATGGAAAATGGTTGCTGAGGCTGTAGCCTTTGATGATCAAATACTGGAAATTTGTTTTCTTTATTTTGTTCTGTGTCTTAAGATTTCAATCAGCTTGAGTTTGTAAGATGATATATGAATTATAAACCGAATAATTTATTAGGGATATAATTCATTATTTATAGCCTCAACAGATTTACTTTATTCTTTATTTCACGATTGGGTGTATGAGTTATTTGCGCCGTAGAATATATCTAGATTATAATAGAAAGGATCAAATAAAATAAAACTTAATTAAGTGGCAATGGTTAGATAAATTAAATTTGATTTGGTGGCTCGATGGACTGTCTTAATCCTTGTGCTGCTCACATAAGCAAGTTAACAACCAAATGTGACAGGATCTGTCATCTAGAACAAATTTTGCAAATTTACGAAATGTTAGGGTAAGTGTTATTGACCTCGTTTTTTTGTAGAGGTGACATGGTCAACTGATCTCGATTTTTCTTACGTCCACGTAAGCCTTTGGATAAATTGTACGTCGCAAGTGACCTTCTCCGATAGTGTAGGAGGCGGTCGTGGGCACTCCGATGTTCAAATCAATAAATATACGTGTTTGAGTTTGACACATGCTAAAGACATGAGCAATTAAGTGTTAAGGGGTTGGATCCGAGAGAGCATATGGAGAATAATGAAAGTTTGTACATACATAATTTGAGTGTATAAAATTGCATTACTTTCAAATGACACTAAGTGTGAGCTTTTGTAGTTGAAGAGGTGTGATACTGACCGGTGGATGGAAAGACACGTGGCCTTATCTTGATGGTTGAAGTGTGCTAGGGATGGCAAAAAAACCCCGATAAACCCGATCCTCATGGCTCCGTCCTGAATGGGGTGGGGATTACCCGCTTAATTAGGATATTCGGGTCGGGGTCGAGGACGAGGACGAGGCGGGTAAATTTGCCTCGGGGTGGGTACTGGTAATGAATGCCCCGCACCGTTTATTTATTTTTTTAAATAATTCAATACTTTAAATGAAAAGTTTCATGAAAGTTCATTAGTTTTAATATAAAATAGCAATTAAAATTATCTAAAAAATATGACAAACAATAAAAACCTTATTTTACCAAATATATTTGAATAATTTAACTTTTAAAAATAAATAAAGATTAAAAAATATATTATTTTCTCGCTCTAATTAATGTTGGCAATAAAAATAAATTATAAAAAAAAATTAAATTGGGTAGTAAATGGGGCAAGGGCGACCTTGTTACTATCCCTAAGGTGTCCTCTCCTAGATGTCAATCAATCCATCTTAGTTGGATGGCATTTAATGTTTCTAAAAAGTACTCTAGTGCCTAGGTCTTGTTGTCATGTTAGCTGGCTTCCTCGTAGAGGTAATTTGAAGATTTGTTAGGAGAGGTGTAACGATAGTCTTCTAAGTTCTTATATGAATATTTACATGATGCAGACTTTTAGTGCAGGGTGGAAGTGAACTCGTTGTCGAGGTGATGCATTGATGTGGAGCATCTTAGCTTTCTTTTGCTTTGTAGTTGTGTATTTGAAATGAACTCATTAGCAATGTCAAGATGATGATTGGAACATAACACAATAGTCCCCCAAGTTCAGGCATGGATATTCATATCATGCCCAAAATTTGAATTGTAGAAGTGAATTGGAATACCTTTTGTGGCAGCTATGCAAGAGATGTAGAGGGGGAGGTCCTAAATTGAGAATGAGGCTCTCGAAGATACATAGCTTTGATGAAAGCTGGTGGCAAAGGTGAGGTCCTTTGGAAGATATGCAGCTTTGATGAAAGTTGGTAGCAAAGGCAAGGTCCTTACTTGAGGACGAAGCTCTGAAAGATATAAGTTTTGAGAAAACCTTTGATGGAAGAAACAAGATTCTTGCTTGAGGATGAGGTTCTCGAAGATATGCAACTTTGATGAAAGTTGGTGGCAGAGGCAAGGTCTTTGGTTGAAGACGAGGCTTTGGAAGATATGCAACTTTGATTAAAGCTTGTGGCAGAGGCGAGGATGAAAAGATAAATCGACGACAAGGACAAATCCTGATTTGATCCAATAGCTAAGGCTCATTGCTTTTGCCTATAAAAGGCATTCTTCTTCATTATTCAAACCTTTTATTTGCAAAAAATTCAAAACTCACATATACTTTGCAAAATTAATTTTCCAGTGACCACTTTGAAGATTTCCAGTGACATTCAGCATTTCCAATGGCATTTCTTCTTAGCCAAGCCTTTGTTCAGGTAAATCTTCGATTTTTCATCAATTTCTCCACCTTTTCTCTTGAATTCTGCCAAAAACATGTCTAGGATGTATGGTTGTAGTTATGTCGATNGGGGGGGGGGGGGGGGGGGTTCTGATTACCCTTAAAACATTACTCTAGATAAACTTGAGAAAATTAGGGAGATTTGTAGGGTTCATGACAACATTAAGTTTATCATTCTTGAACCCCATGAGAAAGGTTGTCACTAGAGGTTAGGTTGTGTCTCAGTGAACACTTTTTCAAGGTTGGCCTCGACCCTTTCTTTTGTCTAGTGCTGAGGTCCTAAAGACTAGGTTCGACCTAACCCAATATGAACTCATAGAGTTAGATGGTTAGGTTGTGGATATTGTAGAGAAGGCCAGCATCAGAGTGTATATGCCTATCTTAGTTTTCCATTCTATATATATCCCAAAAACTTGTTCGGGAAGTGGAGAACGAGAACGAGAATGAGAAGGGATGGCATTAGTGACGTCCTATAGAGCTCATTCACACTTTGTGGTGGGCCTCAAGGATCGAAAGTGAAGCTGATTATGGGTGTTGGTCAGTGGGACACCATTATCAAACTACTATCACTTCTATCTATTTTGTTAGCAGCACTTATCATTTTTCTTGTTCATGTTTACAGATTCCTTATCGAGGTGCGAAATCAACTCTGACATCCATGCCATCTATCAGCTTTCTCTTAGAGAACAACATCACGACGAGCTAATAGACAAGAACATTCACCTCATCACGAACGAATTGATGGCTACTTAAAGTAAGTTCTGAAATGATCATATATTTTCTTTTGCAATTGTTCGATATGCTGATACTTTTTACTCTTGCCGAGAATTTTTTGAGTAAGAAGCCACTGAAGTTAGACTTCGCCACTAGATGCCAAAGTGTGGCTAGGGCTAGTATATTGAAAACCATCTCTACGATCTATAAGAAGTAGAACGAGCAGCTTGTGCAAATTAGCAAAAGATTGCCTATTGACGATGAGGAGGCCAATGAGAAAAAAGGGGGTCATATCTGATCTGGGAAATCTTCTTCCGAGGCAACAGTAGTCAAGCGTCCACCTCTACCTCCATCTTGTGTTCCCATCAAGATCATTATAAAAAAAACACTTTTGACTCAGTCTTTGCCTATTGACCCCATTTTTCATAGGAATGATGTAGCCAACAGAATCCGACTCCTTTCATTTCCACTTAAGCTTTATTCTTGTACAACTTGGACAAATCGTAAGTCACATGTGGACTCCTTCAGTGGTGAGAGATTCGATTGCGAGCATTCTGAATGTCAAGTTAGTGAATGTATATGTGTTTAAGCGTAGGACACGCTAGAGACGATCCTGGAGAGCGTATAGAACATAATGAGAACAAGTTCATAATTTGAGTGTATAAAATTGCATACCTTTAAATGACACTAAGTACGAGCTTTTGTAGTGGAAGAGGTGTGATACTAACTGTTTGATGGAAATACGCGTGGCCTCATCCTGATAGTCCAGGTGTCTTCTCCTAGGTGTCAATCCATCCATCATAGGCTAGATGACATTTAATCTTTCTAAAAAGTTGCCACTCTAGTGTTTAGGCCTGATATCTAATTCATAGACTAATGCTTTGACCTTTAGGTGCTCGCTGTAGAGACATTACATCAATCAATAGAAAGTGAATATATGGAAGATATCTTGAAGGAAGATGTGAAATCGGAGGTGCTTTGGTTAAATGAGGAAGCCGACTACCTCAAACTTTCGCCCTGCAACACCTCGTCTAGACCACGGAGGTCGGCCTCTACATAGCACCTTGGCCAGGTAGGAGGATGATGTGGAGTATGCAACTTATTTTTGGAAGTGATCTATAGCTTTGTCAGAAGAAGTGTAACAAGTGTCGTTAAAAATTGTTTTTGAAAAGATTGAGGGCCAACATTACAATCTTCCCAATATCAAATAACATGGAATTAAATGCAAGGATGTACATTCATATAACAAAATATATGTAACGCCACAACATGTAACTTTCTTAATTATGAAATTCAATTCCCATTTTTAGATATCAACGAATAATAAAATATATATGTTCATCTTAAAAGATCATTTTTATCGACTAAAAAATTATTTTCCATCTTTAGCACTATTATTATTCTATTGTTTTAGTTGTAAAATTTATTAGATATCTCTTGAAAAACCGGGGCATTACATCAAGGTTGGAATGACCTTTATCATCTTTATTCTTAAGTAATGCTATTTATAAATAGTGTGTACTTATAATCAGTTTATGTGGCAATAAGGTAACAGTCAATTCTCCTATATATTTGGAAGCTTTTTAAATCATTGGAGAACGTGACAACGACCTATTGTTATATAAATTGTTGATGGGTAAGCATTGTTTTCACAAATATCATTATTTTACATCTTTATATCAATTTGAAACCTTTTTCTACATGTGGCATTGACAATTATGTCATCCTTCCATGAACAGTTTAGGGTCCTAATGCTAGATTGGAAAATAAGACTTGACAAGACGAACCAATTAATGCTAGGTGAATCACTTGCTAGCACAGGTAAGGGTAGGCGAACTAGTTGATGCTAGAGAAACCAGTTAATGCAAGGTGTT